CAGCAACATATAAAAAGGACTACAAATGCTAATCTTGAGACTTACCTCAAGGAATGTGAGGTTGGTTTAATATGTGAAATTCATTTAGTGAAATAAGTGATGCTAATACACAAAACTATCAATGACACTGACAGTGATTTTATCAACAGATAAAAAGCATTTGATAAGATACAACATACAATCATGATGAAAAACTCTTAATAGAGTGGGTGCTAGGCAAAGCAGTTAAGATCCCACTTGGGACACCTGGAACCCACTGTAGAGTATCTGGCTAAGGACTCTGGCTCCATTTCTAATTCCCGCTTCCTACTAAGGTGTACCCTGAGAGGCAGCAGTAGTGGCTCAACTACCTGCATTCCTGCCAACCACTTCTGAGACTCAGATGGAGTTCCTGGCTCCTGGCTTCAGCCCCCAAGTCCAGGCTGTTGTGGGCATTGAGGAGTGAACCAGCAGATGGAAGGTCTATTTCTCTGTCTTCAAATTAATTTTTAAGAACATTCTCAACAAATTAGGAATAAAAGAGAACTTCCTCAACTTGACAGGGCATTTACAAAATTACCACAGCTAGCATCATATAAAATGTTTCTAAAAGATTGCTTTCTGCCTAAAATCAAGAATAATGCAAGGAAACTTGCTCTTGCCACTTTTATTCAATGCTATACTAGAGGCACAATAATTAAAAAAAGGTACTAGAAATAAAAAATTAATGACCTTAATTTGTAGATGACATTGTACTATAGTTAAAAAATCCAAAGGAATACGTAAGAAAACAAAACAAGTTAATAAGTTGTAATAAACTATAGTAATACAATTAATTGGTGAATAAATAAAACATGGTATATCCACACAGAATATCATGCAGCAATGAAAAGGAATACTGATATATGCTGTAACATGAACAATCAAACAAAAATCATTATGCTAAGTTGAAGAAGTTAGATTTGAATTAATATAAATTGGGTGATTCCATTTAAATGAGACATCCAAAAAGACAAAAATTTATCTAAAACAGAAAGCAGACTGGAGGTGGGAACAGCAACTCACTATAAATGGGCTCAAGGAATATTCTGAGTTGCTAAGACTACTCTGGATTGTAGTCACTGCATATATTTAAAAGTCACTTGGAGGGGGGCCGTGCTGTGGTGTAGTAGGTTAAGCATCCGCCTGCAGTGCCAGCATCCCATATGGGCGCCAGTTTGGGTCCCAGTTGCTCCACTTCTGATCCAACTGTCTGCTATCGCCTGAGAAAGCAGTGGAGGATAGCAGGAGTATTTGGGCCCCTGAATCAGTGTTGAAACCAAGAAGCAGCTCCTGGCTCCTGGCTTTGGATCAGCCCAGCTCCAGCTGTTGCAGCCATTTGGGGAGTGAACCAGCAGATGGAAGACTGTCTCTCCCTCTCTCTGTCTCTCCCTCTTTCTGTCTGTAGCTCTGCTTCTCAAGTAAATAAATAAATCTTTAAAAAAAAAAAAAGTCATTGGATTGTTCACTTAAATGAGTAATTTTAATCTATGAAAATTATATAACAAAGCTATTTTTTAAAGATGTATTTATTTATTTAAACAGCAGAGTTACAGAGAAGGAAAGACAGGCAGACAGAGATCTTCCATCCACTAGTTCACTCACCAAATAGCCAGGCTGAAACCAGGAGCCTAGAATTCCATCCAGGTGTCCCAGGTGGGTGGCAGGGGCCCAAGTATTTAGGCCTTTGTAATCTGCATTGCAAGACACATTAACAGGGATCTGGGTTGGAAGTAAAGCAGCCAAGAATTGAACCAAGGCTCACGTGGGAAGCCAGCCAGCATGACAGGTGGCAACATAATCCACTGTGCCACAACACCAGACCCTCAATAAACTATCTTTAAAAAAATCAACCAGAAGGGCCGGTGCTGTGGTGCAGAGGGATAACGCTCTGGCGTGAAGTGCCAGCATCCCATATGGGCGCCAGTTTGAGACCTGGCTGCTCCACTTCTGATCTAGCTCTCTGCTATGGCCTAGGAAAGCAGTACAAGATGGCCCAAGTCCTTGGGTCCCTGTGCCTGCATGGGAGACCAGGAAGAAGCTCTTGGCTCCTGGCTTCGGATCAGCACAGCTCCGGCCATTGCGGCCAATTGGGGTGTGAACCAGCAGATGGAAGACCTCTCCCTCTCTCTCCGCCTCTCCTCTCTGTGTAACTCTTTCAAATAAATAAATAAATCTTAAAAAAAAAAATCAACTAGAAGGGCCAGCACTGTGGCACAGTACACTAAGCTTCCACCTGCGACACTGGCATCTCATATGGTCGCTGGTTCGTGTCCTGGCTGTTCCTCTTCAGATCCTGCTCTCAGCTTATGGCCTGGGAAAGCAATGGAAGATGGCCCAAGTCCTTGGGTCCCTGTACCTGCATGGGAGACCCAGAAGAAGTTCTTGGCTCTTGACTTTGGATAGGCTCAGCTTCAGCCAATGCAGTCATTTGGAGAGTGAACCAGCAGATGGAAGACCTTTCTCACTGTCTCTCCCTCTCTCTCTCTGTAACTCTACCTCTCAAATAAGTAAATAAATATTTTTAAAAAATCAACTAGAGGGGGCAGTGCTGTGGCGCAGTGGGTTAAAGCCCTGGCCTGAAGTGCTGGCATCCCATATGGGTGCTGGTTCCGGTCCCGGCTCCAGCTCTCTGCTATGGCCTGGGAAAGCAGTAGAAGATGACCCAGGTCCTTGGGCTCCTGCACCCACATGGGAGACCCGGAAGAAGCTCTTGGCTCCTGGCTTCAGGTTGGCGCAGCTCCAGCCGTTGCAGCCATTTGGGGAGTGAACCAGCGGATGGAAGAGCGCTCGCTCGCTCGCTCTCTCTCTCTCTCTCTCTCTGCCTCTCCTCTCCTGTGTAACTCTGTCTTTCAAATAAATAAATAAATCTTGAAAAAAAGTCACCAGAGTCAATGATTTTTTCTCCTCAGTACACACACATACACACACACAGAGAAAAGGAAACATCTGTAGGATTTTTTTGAGTGACAGAAATGACCACTTACTTATTTTCTCAAGTTAGAGACCATTTTTACAATACTGTTAGTCATGACAACTAGGGAGCCTAAAGCTCCTTGGGAGACTAAATTCTACATTCCTCAGGAGACCCAACAAATACCTGCAGTTTGGATGTCTCAAATAGTTTCTTTGCAGACAACTTTCAAGGACTGTTTTTTTTTTTAAATTAGTATTTATTTATTTGAAAAGCAGATAGAGTTAGAGACAGAGAGTCTTCCATCTGTTGGTTCACTCCCCAAATGGCCGCAAGTACAAGGGCTAGGTCAGACCAAAGCCAAGAGTCAGGAGCTTCATCCAAGTCTCCGACATTACTGCAAGGGCCTAAAAACTTGGGCCATTTTCCACTGCCTTTCCAGGCCATTGGCAGGGAGCTGGATCAGAAGTGGAGCATCCAGGATGTGAACTGGCACCCATATGGAATAACAGTATTGCAGGCACTGGTTTTATCTGCTATACATGGCATTTTTATGATTATGAAATACAAAACAGAATTTCACTATTTTATTGAATACCTTATTTATGTGCTTATTGGTAATTCATAAATAGTTTAGTGTAATGTTTATTCAAATCTTCTGCCTATTTTAAAAACTGACTTGTTTTCCAACTATAGTATGTTCTAAGAATTCATTATATATTCATGGCAACATTATTTTTAGTCCAACTATACACATAAAAAAAATCATTCTATGGGGGCTTATGTTGCAGCACAGAGGGTTAAGCCACTGCCTATGATGCTACCATCCCATATTGGAGAGTTGGTTTGAGTCCTAGCTGCTCTGCTTTTGATTCTGCTCCCTGCTAACACATCTGAGAAAGAAGATAATGACACAAGTGTTTGGGCCTCTGCCACACCATGTGGGAGAACCAAATGCAGTTCTGGGCTCTTGCCTTTGGCCTGGCCCAGCCCTAGCCATTGTGGCCATTTGGGGAGTGACTCAGCACACAGATCTCTCTGTCTCTTCTCTTTCACATAAATAAATAAATCTTAACGGAAAAAAATCCATTCTACAAGGTGTTACTAATTAGGATTTTGTCTTTTATAGTCACTGAATCAATATCCCTCTTATCCGTCCGAAAATGATAATTGTAGTAGCCTATATCATTTCAAAGCCTCAGAGATTTCATTTGCTAGAATTGATTAATAAATGCAGGGCCTAAATAAATCTATAACTCCCTTTGTAAAGACAAATATACACACTTTCACAAATGAATACAAGGTCTGTAACAAAAGGGCATGAGAATCACTAGCCATCAAGACTGGCATCATTGAAACCCTGAACCAAAGCCAGTAAGTACTTACCTGCAGACTCTTTCAACCTGAAGGGGGATAAGTAAACCTTACAAAGACAGCTCAAGAGCCCTGTGGTGATGCTGTGATTGTTGCAGAAGCAGACTCCAAGCCAGACAGCGTTTTGGCTTAGTTCCTGATAACAGAAAATCTGTCGCGTCCTGCCTACTTGGTCTCTGACAGTAATCCGCTGCAGGGTTTTGTTTTTTTGTTTTGTTTTGTTTTGTTTCTTTCTTTTCATCAGTTAGGAAGCCTTATTTTAGTCTTCGCAGCAGTAAGCTTTACAGTCCCCTCATCTCTCCAGCCGTTTTTCCTATGGACTAAACTGCCAGCTTATATCACTTGCTTACAAATGTGGTGTCTCTAACTTCTGCTCTTGGTACTTTGTATTTCTTTTCCATTTCTGATGCACAGAGATATTTATCTTGATGCGGATCCTGATTTATTTTCCAGCTTTACCATCACAGCTAGAGCATTCACAGTAAAGAAGGACGTAGATCTAAACAACTTATGACACCATCTAACTAAAAATCTTTCATCTGTATTTTTTATCTTATATTCCCAATTATTTCCTATATTTTGTTTTTACAAAAGCATAAACTATGAATTAATCTCAATTAACTACCAATTCTTTAATGAGCATTTTCATATACTATCACTTATTTCAAATGTAAAACATATTTAAATTACTTACCAATACTATGAAACTGCCATCGCTGATGAATCCTTTCTGGAAGAAGTTGTAATATTTTCTAAAAATCAATATGAATAAAACAAGAGATGAATAAAAAGTAATGAGTCCACATCCTGTGAAATGTGAACAGTTAAAGGAAACTTACTAAGTCCTTATAGTTTCTTATGTAAAAGATAGCATTATCAACACAAAATAGTCTTTTGAGCTAATCTGATAGTGCTGGAGCACTGATCAATATTTGAAAACTTCCCCAAACCAACAAGTAATACTGACAAAGACTTGGAACAGCAAATTACTAAAAGTTATCATTTATAATAATGATAGAAATTAAGGATATTTCTTATTATTAAGTACTAATTTTTTTAAAAAAGATTTACTTATTTATTTGAAAGTCAGAGTTACACAGACAGAGGAGAGGCAGAGAGAGAGAGAGAGCGGTCTTCCATCCAATGGTTTACTCCCCAAAAGGCCACCACGGCCGGATCTGCAGCGATCCAAAGCCAGGAGCCAGGAGCTTCCTCCAGGTCCCCCACACAGGTGCAGGGGCCCAAAGACTTGGACCATCTTCCACTGCTTTCCCAGGCCACAGCAGAGAGCTGGATCAGAAGTGGAGCAGCTAGGACTCGAACCGGCGCCCATATGGGATGCCGGCACTTCAGGCCAGGGCATTAACTCGCTACACCACAGAGCCGGCCCCCTGATTCTTTCATTAAAGATTTACTTTTTTATTTATATGAAAGGCAGAGTTGCAGAGAGAAAGAGACTGAGAGATCTTCTACCTGCTGGTTCACTCCCCAGTAGCCACAATGGCAAGGGCTGGACCAGACTAAAGCTAGGATCTTGGAGCTTTTTCCATGTCTCCCAAGCGGGTGCAGAGGCCCAAGCACTGGGACCATTCTCTGATGTTTCCCCAGGAGAGTTAACACAAAGCTGGATCCAAAGTAGGGCAGCCTCAAACTGGCACCCATGGGACGCCGGTGTGGGAGGCGGAGACTTGACCTGCCAGGCCACATTGCCAGCCCTAAATACTGATTCTTATATATGTCGAAATGCTAGAATTTCTGCATTGTAAATATCACTGATTTGTTTTCAGTTCTTCCAGATATTAATATTTGTAAGATTTTCCTCTTTTTTAAGTGATTCTTTCTACTGTTTTGCTAAACCTAGGGAAAATATTTTGATTTCATAAAAATCTCATCAAAATTTGTATTCAGTTAATTTACATGAACCTAAAAAAGCCCAGATGCTATTATGGATATACACATGAAAGTAACATTTCAAAATTTAGGAGCCCTAAACCAATCAGGATTTTTTCTTTTAAATTCTCCCCCATCAACAACAACCTTACCACTGAATTACTCTCTCAGTTCCCATCCACTTGCTCAATGACATTTGTGTTTATTGTTACTGCTAGTCTTATTACTGTTATTTAGCAATGCTATTAACCGAATACTCAAAAGGGCCAAACATTAAATATACTTCATGTAACTGTATCTCATTAATCCTTGCAACTATTCCAAAAAGAAGTTTATTAGTCTCATTCAATAAACGAGGATTGGGTTAAGCAGTGTGCTTCCATTAGAAAGCCAGAAACTGAGGACAGCATTGTAGTGCAGTGGATTAAGATGCTGTCTACAAGTCCAGGGTCCCATATCAGAGCACCAATTCATGTCTTCACTGCTCAGTTTCCAGTCCAGCTCCCTGATAATGTATCTGGGAAGATGGCCCAAGAGTTTGGGCCCCTCCTACCCATGTGGGAGTTCCACGATCCTGACTTGGGCCTGGCCTAGCCCTGCCCATTGTGGCCATTTGGAGAGTCAAAGAGGGGATGGAAGATCTCTTTCTCTTTCTCCCCTCCCCCCATCACTCTGCCTTTGAAAATAAAATAAATCTTTAAAAAAAATTTTTAAAAGATGGGGCCGGCGCTGTGGCGCAGCAGGTTAACGCCCTGGCCTGAACCACCGGCATCACATATGGACGCCGGTTCAAGACCCAGCTGCTCCACTTCCAACCCAGCTCTCTGCTATGGCCTGGGAAAGCAGTAGAGGATGGCCCAAGTCCTTGGGCCTCTGTACCCGCATGGGAGACCCAGAAGAAGCTCCTGGCTACTGGCTTCAGATCGGCACAGCTCCAGCCGTTGCAGACAATTGGGGAGTGAACCAACAGATGGAAGATCTCTCTTTCTCTGCCTCTCCTCTCTCTGTGTAACTATGACTTTCAAATAAATGTTAAAAAAAAAAATTTAAAAGCTAGAAACTGTAAGAACAAAGATTCCAACCTCAATCTCAATATAATTATTTCCCAAATTTGTGCCTTTATGATTATGATCAAAGAATAATATTCATATTTTACACTTCTATGTCTTCCCTTTGATATGATCTTTAGTGTGCTCCATATAAAAAAAATGATGAGTATAAAGTTCTTCACAGAGGCCGGCGCCACGGCTCACTAGGCTAATCTCCTACTTGCAGCGCCAGCACACCGGGTTCTAGTCCCGGTCGGGGTGCCGGATTCTGTCCCGGTTGCCCCTCTTCCAGGCCAGCTCTCTGCTGTGGCCAGGGAGTGCAGTGGAGGATGGTCCAAGTCCTTGGGCCCTGCACCCCATGGGAGACCAGGATAAGTACCTGGCTCCTGCCATCGGATCAGCGTGGTGCACCAGCTGCAGCGCGCCGGCCGTGGTGGCCATTGGAGGGTGAACCAACGGCAAAGGAAGACCTTTCTCTCTGTCTCTCTCTCTCTCTCACTGTCCACTCTGCCTGTCAAAATAAATAAATAAATAAATAAATAAAAAAGATCTTCACAGATAAATGCTGGTCTCACAGAACTTCCATAACCTTCTTTACCTTTGCCTTCCCTACCTATGTCTCCCACAGCCAGCCAACAATTATATATTATATAATCTCTCTCTCTCTCTCAATCTCTCTCTCTCTCTCTCTCTGCCTCTCCTTCTCTCTATGTAACTCTGACTTTTGAGTAAATAAATAAATATTAAAAAAAAAAAATGGAGGGGGCTGGCGCTGTGGCGCAGTGGGTTAATGCCCTGGCCTGAAGCGCCGACATCCCATATGGGCACCAGTTCAAGACCTGGCTGCTCCACTTCCAATCCAACTCTCTGCCAGGGCCTGGAAAAGCAGTACAAGATGGCCCAAGTCCTTGGGCCCCTGCAACCGTGTGGGGGACCCGGAAGAAGCTCCTGGCTGCCCATCGGCACAGTGCCGGCCATTGAGGCCAATTGGGGAGTGAACCAGCAGATGGAAGACCTCTCTCTCTCTCAGCCAATTGGGGAGTGAACCAGCGGATGGAAGACTTCTCTCTCTCTCTCTTTCTCTGTCTCTCTGTAATTCTGCCTTTCAAATAAATAAATAAATCTTAAAAAAAAAATGGAATGCCAAGGTATAGCAAGTGGCAGCTTACTTAACCTAAGGTACCACAATGTGTACACTTTAAAAAAAAAAAAGAAAGAAAGGCCGAGTTAGAGAAAGGCAGAGGGAGAGAGGGAGAGAGAGACAGAGAGAGATAGACAGACAGACAGGTCTTCCATCTGCTGGTTCACTCCCCAGATGGCTGCAATGGCTGGAGCTGTGCTGATCCGAAGCCAGGAGCTTCTTCCTGATCTCCAAGGACTTGGGCCATCTTGTACTGCCTTCCCAGGCCATAGAAGAGAGCTGGATCAGAAGTGGAGCAGCCAGGACTCAAACCAGCACCCATAAGGGATGCCAGCACTGCAGGTGGTAGCTTTATCCACTACACTACAGTGCTGGCCCCCCAAAAATATTTCTAACCATGATTCAATCAACAGATGAGATTTAACTAGATTGATCAAATTCTTCTGGACTATACCAAAACATTCAAAATACAAAACTATAAACCATCTTCAATTAGTAGCTGGTAAAATACACATTCTTTAGAAAGTCCAGACTTTCTAAATAACTCCAAAAATTTTTTTTAAGATTTATTTATTTTATTCAAGAGTTAGAGAGGGAGAGGGAGAGACAGAGACTAAGAGATCTTCCACCTGCTGGTTCAATCCCCAATGGCTGCAGTGGCTGGAGATGAGTCAATCTGAAGCCAGGAGCAAGGAGCTTCTTCCACCACAGGTCTCCCACATGGGTGTGCGGGCCCAAGGACCTGGGCTATCCACCGCTGCTTTCCCAGGCCATTAGCACAGAGTTGGATGGGAAATGGAGCAGCCGGGACTCGAATCAGTACCCATATAGCATGCCAGCACCACAGGTAGAGGCTTAACATACAACGCCACAGCACCAGCCCCTCTAAATTCTTTTTAAAGATCAGAATACTACTGTGAAATTTACCGATTAAGGAGCACAGAGTTATTTTAAAAGGGGGGTTTAGGACAGCCGTTTAAGTCACAGCTTGGGATGGAGTGTCTAGTTAGAATCCCAGGTTCTCTGTTTCTGAGTCCATTTCCTGCTGATGTGCATCCCGGCAGGCAGCAGGTAGCTTAAATACTTAGGCCTCTGGCACCCATGTGGGAGACCCAGATTGAGTTCTGGATACTGTTTTCATCTGGCCCGGTCATGGTTATTACAGGCATTTGGGGAGTGAACCAAAGGATGCAAGATTTCTTTTTCTTTCTGTCTTTCAAATAAAAATGAAATGAATAAAAATTTTAAAAGGGGGGAAGCCTTAATTTTTATGATTGTGCTATAAATAAAACTCAAGTTTTAGTAGAGCATCAAATTTTACTCAGGCACCCTCGAATTATGTTTCCTTCTATTTATAAAGACTTGCCTCACCCCAATTCAAAGTAAAATGACAATGATTAAAACATCTAAATTTTATACCAGTTGCAATGAAAAGCAGTTACAGCAGAAATGATAAATCCTCTAGGTATAGAACAGTTATATACATATACTCTCTCAGGTAAAAATGAATTATAGATAAGAAAAAAGAAAAAAAAGAAACATTTGCATTAACTGTCCACAAATTAAAACTTTCATTATTTACAAGCGCTTGGAATATCATACTAATTTTGTGCTGACAAATGTGTAAAAACACAGTTCAATTTATACCTAAAAATATGTGATATACCTCAAAAAAAGACACAGAATACAGATTAGAAGATTACATTTAGTTATTGAAAAGGCTGGCAGATTCATTGTGTTTTATTATAAAATTTAAAATTTCAATATATTCAGGGCTGGAGCTATGGCTCAGTGGGTTAAGCAGCTGCCTGCAATGCCAGCATCCAACATAGGTGCAGATTCAAGTATAGGCTGCTCTGCTTCCAATTCAAATCCCTGTTAATGTGTCTGACAGTGGAGGATGGCCCAAATTCTTGGGTCCCTGCACCCACGTAGGAGACATGGAAGAAGCTCCTGGCTCCTGGCTTCAGCCTGGACCAGCCCTGGCCTGGCTGTTGCAGCCATCTGGGGAGTGAATCAACAGATGGAAGATCTCTCTCTCTCTCTCTGCCTCTCTTCTCTCTCTCTGTAACTCAGACTTTCAAATAAATACATCTTTTAAAAATTTTGAATATATTCCTCTGTGTAGTCAAAGAATTGTTTTTGAAACAGAGAAAAAAGTTAAGATTCACAGGTACTTACCTCAAAAATAAAAAGTATAGCATCCAATTCCTCCCTTTGAGACTTGTGACCTAAAATATTTTAAACATGTTTTGTCATTGTTAACAATCATTTAATAAGTTTAAAATATCTTAAGCACTGAAGTTTTCCAGTAATCTTTTAGTAAAATGCTTAAAGCATATTCTATTCATTGCACAGGCTATATCATAGCCCCTTCCCCTCTCTCCCTCTCTGTATAATTAAGTTCAGGTTTCACATATTTGGATTTAAAAGCAAATCATGATACATTGTGAATTATAAACGAGCTCTGAAAATGAAAACATGAAAGAGACTGCTCAAATTTGACACACATCCTTAAGCCAAAAGAAGGTGGGGTAAGGTAGATCTGACCCCCCAAAAAACAAATCTTTTAATCCTTTGCACAAAGTAATAAGAACAGTAATACTGATCCATCAATTGTCTTTTAAATACATGCTCCAGACTAAAAATAGTGAGAGGGGTACCAAAAAGCTATCTGACAGGGTCAGTTGCTTGGCACAGTGGTTAAGTCACCACTTGATACATCTGCATTGCCCATCAGAGTAGCTGGCTTGAATCCCAGGTCCATATTCCAATCCAGCTTCTTGTTCCTACGACACATGTGGGAGACCTGAACTGAGTTCCAGGCTTCTGACTTCAGCCTGGCCCAGCCCATCCTTTTTCAATAAAATTAAAATAAATAAATAAATAAATAATAAATTTAAAAGGCTGACAGAAAATGCATTAATATTAAAATTTAATGTCCAAGAGTCTTTAAGTTATTAAAGACAACTATTGAGAATATCACTATAAGCCAGAATATAAGCTAACAACTTACCTTTCTGTTTAAGACTAGCTTCAATGGTCACAAAATTTTCAAAGAACACATAGTATATATGTGAAAAATGTTGGTCAAAAAATTGTTTAAGATCAACAGATTCTGCATTCTCTGAAAAACAATAAAAACAGTTTTTAGTTATTATTATCTACATAAATGTTAAATCATGTTTAGCAAATATTCACAGTGCCAAGTTTCACATTCAGGTTTCCAAGTCAGAAAACTATTCCTAAAATTCTATCCTATTAAAATATTTGAGATATGTATTTATGTATCTATATCCTTATTCTCACAACTTTAGTCTTTATAGATTTTAGTTTCAAAAAAACTAGTCGAGGTATAATCTTTGTTTCTGGAAAGAGACAATGTTATGTCTCAAAGAGATTTATCCACAATCATTAACCACACCAAAAAAAAGCATTAAGCTGGATTTTCAATCCAAAGTTATGGCTTTCCTAACTTATTCCCAAAACAGTTTAAGATCAGTGTTTCTAAGAATTTATGATGCCTGAAACACATTATTTAGTAGATAGCTATCAAACGATAAATTCTGTCAATAGGCATGTAAAGATCAGAATGCTCAAACACCGTCAGTATAGTCCAGGCCATGCAAAACTAAACAGATAATGACATGCACAGAAGAAAGGGCAAGGTGACAAAAGTACATGGTAGTTCAGAAACACAAAAACAACCTTCGAGTCTCAAAGGCAAGGAAAAAAGAAAAGCCTAACAGAGGACACACTATCTGAAAAGACTTTAGAGGGCAGGCATGGACCTGGACTTGAAGCCCTGGAAGGCTGAATGGGAAGAGAATTCTCGGCAAAAACAAGACTTGGAATAAGGACATTAGAGGTATGCGAGTATGCAGAAAAACTACTTGCTTGGCTGACAGCATTTTAATAAAAATAAAAGTTAAAAAAGTTTGAGATATGTTATAAAACATCAAGACCCTATGCAAATACATATGTAAATTATTAGTGGTAACAGGACCGGTTTTATTGTTATCTAGTTTCTTTTCAAGAAAAGTGAGAACCTTGAAGAAAAAAAGCAAAGAGGAGAACTTGTACTTTATATTCTTCCTACTGTTCCAATATTTTACAAAAAAAATACACCTCTTATTATAATAAAACATAAATTTTAAAAAGGCAACTAAAAGTAAATCAAATATTTCTGAATATGGGTCTGAGATAAACTATTAATTGTAAATAAACCCAAGTTAAAGGTAAACATCTTTTATTATTTTAAGACACTGCTCGGACATCCATATCCCATACCTAGACCCCTGGATCTGTGTCCTGCTCTGATCCCAATTCCAGACTCCTCTGTTAGTGTGTGCCCTGGAGGCAGCAGGTGATGAGGCAAGTAGCTGGGCCCCTGCCACCACATGGGAGAGGTAGACTGGCCTGGCCCAGCCACAGCTGTTGTGAGCACTTGGGAGCTGAACCAGCTAATGGGAGCTTGCTCGCTCACTCTCTCTTTTTGTCTCTTTCCAAATGCCATTTAAAACAAGTAAAAAATGTTTAAAAAAAAAAATCATCCTCACCGTGAATGGGATCCTGCTCAATCTTGGACAGTGAACCCCTAGAACCATGACCCAAAATAAGCTTCTTTTCTTTATAAGGCAGCCTGCCTCAGGCAGTTCCTTTTAGTTATGAAAAACTGACCAATATACACTATGTTTCTCCTTTAGGAAAATAATAATTTTTCGAATTTTTCCCTGGACTTCTCTAGATTCTTCAGAATAGAAACTGTGTCTACCTCAGTATTCCCCAAACCCAGCACAGTGCTGAGCATATGTTGCTCCCCGTCTTCGTGGAGGAGCAACACAGGATCCTGCGCTGTTCTTTCTGCTGCTCGGCCCTTCCCGGGTTTGCTGCTGGTTCTTCCCGGGTTGGCTACTATCCCTTCCACCTCCGTGGAAGGGCAGTTCCCCCTGGCCACATTCCCCACTTCCGCAGGGGAGCGGCACACCGCCGGCCGGCTCTCTGGGGGGCTGCACAGGTGTTCCTTCAGCTAGATGTTCCCCATAGATGTTCCTGGTGCATGCCGTCTCTCTCCTCCTTTATAGTCCTCCTCCGCCAATCCCAACTCGGCTGAGTACGCTGCTCTCCAATCAGGAGCAAGTCCTACAGTTAATTGGTTGAACTGGAGGCAGCTGTGCGGAAGCTGTTTACTTCTCTCCCAGCGCCATATTGTGGGAGAGCAGATGCATAGAATAAGTCCTAATTCGAGTAACTTAGTCTAGTCCGGATTGCTCCCCACAGATCCCCCTTTCTTTTTATTTTTTAGCGTTGATACGCGCCTGTCTTCGGTGTCCCGCGGCACATACTCTGCTCTGCTAGAACTGCCTGCAGGTGTTTACAAAACCTATCAGGCAAACCGAATCCAAGCCTTCTCATTGCCGTATTGTGGGGGAGACTTATTAGTGTTGGTTTGTGCCTATCTTCGGTGACCTGCAGCTCATACTCTGGTCGAGCTTTGCTGGCGCTTACCGCCTTAAATCAGGCAGACCGAATCCAAGCCTCCTAATTGGCATGTTGAGGGGAGGCCTTATTTTTCTCTATTTCTCTATCTCCGGGCATTCCTACCTCTCCCATTTCACTTCTATCTTCCAGCATTCCCATTTCTCTTTTACTTCACTTCCAAACTTCTGTTTCTCTTATCCCTGCGGCTTTCCGGCACCTCGCCCCGCCGGCGGGTTCCCGGCTCTGCGCCGCTTCAGCCCGCGCGCCTCTCTGCGCGGCTTCCCGGCTTTGCGCGGTCCGCGGTCTCCACGCTTAACCCTTTCGCGTCTGAACCACGGCCTACGCCAGCGTTCCCTATCTATTCACGCCCCGTGCTCTCTCTGCACGCGGCGGCTTCCGCGAGTAACACAGCGTAGCTTGCGTCTCCGCCACTAGGATTCAATCTAAGTTCCCCGGGCTAGCCTGGCGAATTCAACCCAGCGTACGTCTCCGCCCCACGATTTGGCTTCCCGTCCTTTGCTCCCCGGGCTAATCAGACGGATCCCAATCTGGCTTACGTCTCAGCTTCTGGTTTCAACTTTTCGCCCCCTATTCCCGGGCTAACCTGAGAACCCCAAAGTGGCTTTCGTTTCCGCCTCGGCCTGCCCCCCGCGGCTTCAATTTCCCTAACAGTTTTCTCTACCCGGTATGTTTCCCCAAGCTTTCCTCCAACGATATTCCTCCCTCATTTCTCCTGGCCTCTCCCCACAGTCCGCGTCCGAGTCTGTTTGTTCTAGCTTTCACTTTCGCTTTCGACCTTAGAGATTTCTCCCAGCTTCCCCCCGTAGTCCGTATCCGAATCTATGCCTAGGCTTTCAATAGCTTCTTCCGGCTCCTTTTTCGTCCGGCTTTTCCCTAGGCTATTTGCTAGTCTCTCTCTCCGGTATTTTCCCAGTTCTTCCCGTTTCTTCCCTCCTAAGTTTTCTATCCGTCCTAGGTTTCCTATCCGAGCTAGGTTTCCTATCCGAGTCACGGCACCATTATGTCGCTCCCCCTCTTCGTGGAGGAGCAACACTGAACCCTGCGCTGTTCTTTCTGCTGCTCGGCCCTTCCCGGGTTTGCTGCTGGTTCTTCCCGGGTTGGCTACTATCCCTTCCACCTCCGTGGAAGGGCAGTTCCCCCTGGCCACATTCCCCACTTCCGCAGGGGAGCGGCACACCGCCGGCCGGCTCTCTGGGGGGCTGCACAGGTGTTCCTTCAGCTAGATGTTCCCCATAGATGTTCCTGGTGCATGCCGTCTCTCTCCTCCTTTATAGTCCTCCTCCGCCAATCCCAACTCGGCTGAGTACGCTGCTCTCCAATCAGGAGCAAGTCCTACAGTTAATTGGTTGAACTGGAGGCAGCTGTGCGGAAGCTGTTTACTTCTCTCCCAGCGCCATATTGTGGGAGAGCAGATGCATAGAATAAGTCCTAATTCGAGTAACTTAGTCTAGTCCGGATTGCTCCCCACAGCATACATACTTCAATGTCTTATTCCAGTATAAATTATCTTTATTTAATATTTTCCTTTTACAGCTTGCAAATTTTTACCTTGGAAGTGACTGCATAACATACTAATAGGCAAAGAAGCATTGCTACTGGAATCTTGGAATTAGAACATTAAGATTCCATTGCTGTCTGTAACACTTACTACCTGTGTGCTTTAGAGTAGAAAAAATGACAATGAGTAACAAAGTAAGTGATTCTTGTGAACTGGACATTCCTCTAAGTACTTTATAATTCCTATTATCTTCACAACAACATGAAATAAGTACTTTTACTATTCCTAAGTTATTGAGCAAGAAACCTAGGCACAGTAAGTCTAAGTAACTTAGCTGCCAAGCAAGCAAGCAAGCAAGAGTCGGGATTTGAACACCAGCACCTGGATCCAGTGCCCATGCTCTCAACATTTATGTTACTCAGCTTCCAGTGCATTTAGGAGAAGAGAACACTACTGATTTATTATCTGCCCATAAGGAAATAAGAACAATAGCCATCAAATACTAGTTAAATACTTGCATTTTCTATAGAACATCAAATAAAAACATGAGGTAAAAGGAAAAGTGTTATGTCTAACAGAGTAGCTTAAAAAACTATGAAATAAAATAAAATAGACTGCTCTAACTTCCTGAATTTCCTGAAACATTTCAAATACAATTAAAATCTCAGGAGAAAGAAGAAAATGAGAACAGTAACAAAGCAAAACAAAAACCCAAAACCATATAAAAGTAAACATAAATCAACGTTTTGTGGTATAGGAGCCAAGATATTCTCTCTTAATTTCCTTCCCATATGGCAAGTTCACAAAGCCTGGAAATAACATACCTGCTAAAGTGAATAAAAATAAATACTGGATCAAAATTAAGCTAATTTGGGGTTTTAACTCTTTATTCACAATTAACTTGTTTATAAATATAAACTCTTATAAAATATTTTTGATCACCAATTCACAGAAGTTACATGGTATAGGAAGAAATACAGAAAGCTGATAAAATGTGAGGAGATTCTCTTATTTAAAAACAACTCTCAGGATCAGCACTATGCAGTAGGAAGTTAAGCCTCCACCTGCAGTGCCGCATCCCATGTGGGCACCAGTTCGAGTCCTGGCTGCTCCACTTCTGATCCAGC